TTCCAAGAGCCTATCTACCAGCCTGGCCTGAGTGCAGAGTTTGGAACAAACACTAACAAGTCTCACAGGTTTTGAGATTTCATAACTCAGAATCCACATGGTTCTGCTCGTGACCATGTGCCTGTTTGCAGAAAGGGATAGAAATAGAGGTCAGTGAATGGACTGAAACTGCATAAATCTGATAGATAGCTAACAGGCCCATAAAACCAGTTATGTGTGTTCAATAATAGAGCACACCAGCATTTTAAGTAGATTTCAGGCTGCCATAGGGCACAACAAGAGCACAGAATTTTAACAAGGCTTGTACTGAGGTATTCCCAATGGTAACAGACCCACAGGAGGGGTGAATAAGCCTACGAGTCTATTAAAGTGCCTCTTAGCCTTAAACAACAGTCAGATATAACTGTAAATGTGCAATGTGCCCTTAAATTGCTTTGAGGAAACTTGGTGTGAAGCAGACAGCTTGAGAGCACTTCCTATTATCTTGGGAAGTAGCTGAGAGAGGAAAACACTGTGAGGACAGAGAGGCAAAAGCACATACTGTGTTACCTGGATGTGCTGGCTTGAGTAATATATGTTCCTTGATCCAAGTACACTCTCCAGACTTTAACTTCAGCAGCCTTCCTATTCACCGGAAGATATGAAAGGAGAAAGGACCCTGCTGACACCAGTACCTTAAACCTTCCAAGTCATTACCCTGGGATTAATATATTTAAGGTAAGCAATGTCATTGTAATCAAACTATCAGCAAGTATACTGTGTATGTAGGTGCACAAGAATTTCTTTGATAGGCAGACAGGGCATGAACTATGTAAAGGGTTAAAGACAGCATTCCTTGGATGAGGATTTCACCCTAAACAAGATAGCCTTTTAAACTGTCACCAATTCACTGAAGCCATTGTGTGCAGAAAACAAAATAAACCCAATTCAAAAATCAATTGTCTATCAATTTATATATGATAAAAATATTCCTTTCATTTTAACAATCAATCTCATTCAATGGGAGACAGGGCTTATTAATCAGAGAGCTGGGCTTTGTTGGGATTCCCTCTGAGACCTCTTTCCACTTGGCTTCCCAAAAACTCAGTTTGACTTCAAACTCTGTTACTCAGATATGTTTATCTGTCATACAGCAGTGCTTCACTGATTAGATTTAAACGTGGGGAGTTGGGCAGTAAATGTAGTGTACATGACAGCACCGGAGTTACACAAAAACTCTCTCTCTTTATTCATAGACATAGAATCATAGACTATCAGGGTTGGAAGGGACCTCAGGAGGTCATCTAGTCCAACCCCCTGCTCAAAGCAGGACTAATCCCCAGTTTTTGCCCCATATCCATAAATGGCCCCTTCAAGTATTGAACTCACAACCCTGGGTTTAGCAGGCCAAAGCTCAAACCACTGAGCTATCACTCCCACCCCCAAGCTTTACTATGTTTACAAATCTTATTGCATTTGCTATACATTGCATCATATGCTCCAAGTTTCTAATGTGCCAGGGGTGCTGCCCACCGGCTCCACCCCAGGCTCCACCCACACTCCACCCTACTCCCAAGGCTCTGCCCCCTCCCTGCCTCTTCCCTGCCACTTCCTGGATCGTGGCCCCACTCCACCCCTTGCTCTGCCCTGTGGCTCTGACCCGCTCAGCCTCTTCCCCTGAGGCCCCGCCCACCACTCACAGGAGCCAGTGGCCTGCACGTGGGTGAGGGGGAGGGGGCAGAGAGGAGGGAGCAGCGGGCAGGTGGGAGGGGCAAAGAGGAGCGAGCAGTGCGGGGAAGAGAGGAGCAAGCGGTTAGCAGAGCCTTGGAGGGAAGAGGCCAAGTGGGGATGGGGCCTCAGAGCAGAGCTATGGGGCAAGGTCCAGGCACCGGAGCTCCTCTGAGTGTGGACATGGCGCCACTGTAAACCCGATACTGATCTGATGACTTTTAGGTGGCTTAATAAGTGAAGTAAGTCCATTTCCCTGAGAGCAGGTGTTCTCAGCCACAGAAATCACTCCCACTATTGTCACTAATGTGTACGTTTGCCCTTGAGTCCTGCAAGTTGTTCCACACAGAGTCCTGCACCTGTGCAGAGCCCCACTGACTTCAGTGGATCTCTGCATGAACAAGGGGTCCACCTGCATGGAACAATTTGCAGGACTGAGGCATTTGTTGATCATTTTGATAGAGGCCAAAGACTGAATGGTTATGAAGACCCCGAGAAACAGACCCTCCAGGTCAGGTTGAGATACAGTTAAAGGCACCCTGGGGAATTTTTCAGCACTGCCACCCATGCTGTACCTATTTCCTGATAAAATGAGAACTTGAGTCTCCATGGCTGCCAAGCCAGCAGCTTCCACCAGGACTTATTTCACAAACCCACAGGCTGACATGGGATCTTTCACTTCCTCTCACAGACTGACACCCACAAAGCTCAGTGTGATATCTTTCTTTCTCACACACACTCAACAGTATAGATATGACACTGGGCTAAGAGTCAGAAGACTCGAGTTTTCTTTCTGTCTGTGCCACTGATTTGCTGTGTGACCTTGAACAAGTCACCTAACCTCTTTCTAGGTCAGTTAATCTATCTCTAAATTAGGGATGATTATGCCTCATCATCTTTATATAGTGCCCTGAGATCTGTGGATGAAACACTATTTAAAGGCAATGTATTTATTGTTCTTAATAAAGCAGATGATGGATTTGGAACCCCGTGCTAATTCATACTCAATGCAGAAAATGCAGTGCTGACAGAGCTGCCCAGTAATAGGCACCATCTTTAGAACAGACTGTTTAGCTATCCAGGGTAACCAATGTTACAACTTTACTGCAAATCTCACAGTATTTGATAAAAAGAAAAGGAGGACTTGTGGTACCTTAGAGACTAACAAATTTATTTGAGCATGAGCTTTCGTGAGCTACAGCTCACTTCATCGGATGCATGCAGTGGAAAATACAGTGGGGAGATTTTATATACACAGAGAACATGAAACAATAGGGGTTACCGTACACACTGTAAAGAGAGTGATCAGGTAAGGTGAGCCATTACCAGCAGGAGAGAAAAGAAAGAGAGAGAAAAAAAACCTTTTGTAGTGATAATCAAGGTGGGCCATTTCCAGCCGTTGACAAGAACGTGTGAGGAACGGCCGGGGGGGGGGGGGGGAGGGGTAAACATAGGGAAATAGTTTTACTTTGTGTGATGACACATCCACTCCCAGTCTTTATTCAAGCCTAACGTAATGGTGTCCAGTTTGCAAATTAATTCCAATTCAGCAGTCTCTCCTCAGACAGAGACAAACACCTAAAGATCTCTATCAAGAGTTCTTACAACTACAATACCCACCTGCTGAAGTGAAGAAACAGATTGACAGAGCCAGAAGAGTATCCAGAAGTTACCTACTACAGGACAGGCCCAACAAAGAAAATAACAGAATGCCACTAGCCATCACCTTCAGCCCCCAACTAAAACCTCTCCAGCGCATCATCAAGGATCTACAACCTATCCTGAAGGATGACCCATCACTCTCACAGATCTTGGGAGACAGGCCAGTCCTTGCTTACAGACAGCCCCCCAACCTAAAGCAAATACTCACCAGCAACTACACACCACACTACAAAAACACTAACCCGGGTACCTATCCTTGCAACAAAGCCTATTGCCAACTGTACCCACATATCTACTCAGGGGACACCATCACAGGGCCTAATAACATCAGCCACACTATCAGAGGCTCGTTCACCTGCACATCCACCAATGTGATATATGCCATCATGTGCCAGCAATGCCCCTCTGCCATGTACATTGGCCAAATTGGACAGTCTCTTCGTAAAGGAATAAATGGACACAAATCAGACATCAGGAATTATAACATTCAAAAACCAGTCGGAGAACACTTCAGTCTCTCTGGTCACTCGATTACAGACCTAAAAGTGGCAATTCTTCAACAAAAAAACTTCAAAAACAGACTCCAACAAGAGACTGCTGAATTGGAATTTATTTGCAAACTGCATACCATTACATTAGGCTTGAATAAAGACTGGGAGTGGATGGGTCATAACACAAAGTAAAACTATTTCCCCATGTTTATTTCCCTCCCCCCCCCCCGCCATTCCTCACATGCTCTTGTCACCTGATGGAAATGGCCCACCTTGATTATCACTACAAAAGGTTTTTTTTCCTCTCTCTGTCTCTTTTCTCTCCTGCTGGTAATAGCTCACCTTACCTGATCACTCTCTTTACAGTGTGTATGGTAACAACCATTGTTTCGTGTTCTCTGTGTATATAAAATCTCCCCACTGTATTTTCCACGGCATGCATCTGATGCAGTGAGCCGTAGCACACAAAAGCTTATGCTCAAATAAAGTTGTTAGTCTCTAAGGTGCCCCAAGAACTCCTTTTCTTTTTGCGGATACAGACTAACACGGCTGCTACTTGAAACCTGTCATTATGCAAGACAATATTTGATGTTTTTCTTAAAGCTCCAACTGCTGGAATAATGCAATTACATAAGAATTTCACCTTTCATTAAAAACGAACACTAATTTTCTTGCCCTCAGGAACAGAGTGCATCCTAAAGACTAAACAACCAGAGTCAAATAAAAAGAGCCCCAAAGGTGTCATTTTAAAAAAAATCCCTATGGTTTCTAAACTAATCTCATGGGGTTTGGTTGTTGTTTTTTAACTGATTTGTGATTTGTGATCACTTGGGGTTGAGAATTCCGGGGCCCTGTCCAATAGCAGCGGAAGACTCCAGGGCAGATTGTGCGCAGCAGGGGACAAGCTGAACCCTTTCCTCATTAATTTACATTCTCCTCCCTCCCCTTCTCCAGGATCCTCTCCCCGTATCCCCGGGTCCCTGGCTGTGGCTTCCGCTGGAAGGAGCCACCAGAGGAGTCACTAGAGAGCCGCAGCCCCCGTCCAGCTCCCTCCTTTCCCCCTGAACCTGCCGCTCTCTGCGAATCCCGTTGCCCTGCCCCACCCGGGAGGTAGCCACGCCCCCTTCCTTTCTGACGCCTTCCTGGTTCTTCTTGCTTCTGCCCTGCGCTGATTGGGGCTCGCGGCGTTCCAAAGGGGCGGGCTCACGGGGGGATTTAAACTGCAGCTGACCGCAAGGCTCGGAAAGGCTCTCGTTCTGCTGAGATAGCCTGGTGCCACGTGGTGAGGTCGCTCCGGGTAAGTGGCAGCCCCCCGCCAGGGTGGAATGGGGCTCCCTGTCTCCGCCTGTTAGTTGCGGGGTCCGCCCTAGCTCGAGGCTTTGGTGGTCACTTTGCACCCGGTCTGGCAAAGTTTGCTCAGGCTCTGTTTCCCCATGATTCTCCGGGCGGCCAGATGGCGGGGAGGGGGCAGACAAATCCCCCCTGGTGCTGCTGGGAGTAAGCTGCAGCAGCAGCTGACGGGGAAGCTGTGTCACTCATGGCCGCGGCGCTGATTCTGTCCCGCGGCTGCCGGTCGCTGGTGCGTGGCGGCCTGCGGCCTCGCAGATGGAGACCTGCCCCGCTCCGCTTGGTGGTGAGTAGGGTGGGGATGTGTGTGTTTGGTGGGGATTCCCCCTGCCATGCTGCGCATGACTCTGACGGCATCCCTCTCTTAGATGCATGGGCCGTAAGCAGGTTCTTTGCCCTTCCCCAAGTCCGCGTCCCTTGTTCGGAGAGCAGGGATCGGGCCGTTTAACCCGTCCTCCCGCGCCCGCAGACGGGGGCTCCCGACGTGGGTGGGGATACGGGCCACACTGGGACATGACGTGTCTGCCACTTCGTACTGGGCGGGGGGTGCTGTCTCCTCCAACCGCTGCGTCTTAAATACCCAGACCCTGCCAGTGGTTAAACGGTCTGGTGAAGGAAACCTGGGGAACTCAATGTCCTGACCCACTATCTAGCCTTGGCCCTCATGACCAGTTCTCTAGCCTGTGGCTTGCACTGACTGACCGTGGAAACTGGTCACCATATGATGCAGCATGTCTGCGTCTGTAGCTGCAAGAAACTCACCATGTCCTGCCTTTCATTTCAGGAAGCTGGTCAATAGGATGTCATCTCTGCAGTGCATTATTTGTAGATCAAAGGACAGTTTTCCCCATCTAAACGAAAGAGGTGGTGGCAAAAAATAGCAGACAATATAATGACTTTGGCTGTCAATAGGTCTAATGCTTCCAGCTAACCTAGAGCAGGTGCTATTAAATAGGCCCCCAAAAACAGTGCTATCATCTGGGGCTCCATCCTGTGGGCTGAGAACACATTTTCCTACTTTACAGTCAAGCCACACTTCCTCTTATGAAAAGCATAACTTATGCAATCGTGTAATCTCAGTGGTCGTGCAAAAAGAAATCTGAGAAATTAGTGACAGTACTTCATAGTATTTAGCTGGTTCCTTTGTAATACTTATCAATAACTCTAATATTCTAGCCATGTCTTCTTTGGTATGACTAGCCAATCCCCTTTGGAATCTGGGGCGCAGGAGTCTTAAGCTCCTTCCAGAATATAGACATGGGTCTTTCAGTACTGACCCACAAGGCTAGCATGATCAAGTACTACTTTTAAGTGTGGCTTAAAACCAATTCTGGGGTGAGGGGGGGTAGAGATGTACATTTTTACCAGCTGACTCAAACATGATTCCCCCTGAACAGAACACATAGTATCTTTGTATCCTAGACATTACCACTTACCCACTGGGGTTGCTATGGGAACCACAGCTCACCATGTTTATTATTGTGTAGGTCTTGTAAAATTTTTAAAGTTCAACCATGGAGCACTGACATCACTTTCTGCATTTAATTCCCTTTTAAAGGGGAAAAATCACAAGTGAATAATCATAGGACCTTGAGAGGTCATCTAGTCCAGTCCCCTGCACTCATGGCAGGATTAAGTATTATCTAGACCGATCCTGACAGGTGTTTGTCCAACCTGATCTTAATCTCCAATGATGGATATTCCACAACCTCCCTGGATTATAATAGTGGATTACACATAGTAGGCTCACTGACTACACCTGGAGATGATGGCTGTTGGCTTTTCTGGGAAATCTGATGGGCTAAATTGATTTGATCCTGATTTGAACAAGAGTTATGTGTCGATGGCATTCCTTCCTCTGGTCCAGGCTGAATCAGTTTCTGGCTATTTGGGCAAGAACGCTGAATGAGATGGAAAATATGTGGTTACTAGAGAACTTGAGCATTTTTTTTGGAAGAGTCTGGGCCCTGACCAAATTCAATCATAGGTACTGAAAATCCCAGATTCCCCCTCAAAACTGAGTGACTTTAGTTAAGTTTCACATCTTATCACAGTGTCTTAAGTGTTAACTGTTTAACTATATTAATGAGTGCTCAGGTGAAAGACATTACAGGGTATGTCTATACTACCCGCCAAATTAGCGGGCAGCGATCGATCCAGCGGGGGTCGATTTATCGTGTCTAGACTAGACGCGATAAATCAAACCCCCCCCCCCCCCCCGAGTGCTCTCCTGTACTCCACCACTGCGAGAGGCGCAGGCCGAGTCAATGGGGGAGCGGCAGCAGTCGACTCACCGCAGTGAAGACACCGCTGTGAGTGATGCTCAGATGAAAGGCATTAGGGTTTGAATATGTAAATGTCTTTCTGGAGTTCCATGCCTCAGTGTGTTCCCATTCTAGTGAGGCAAGAATGTTCCACAATATGCAGTTATGAAGCAGGTTTTTTTTTTTTTTCAAACTTAGGGCTTGGCTACACTTGCAAGTTACAGCACAATAAAGGAGCCCCAGGTGCATTAGCTCACTACCCGTCCACACTGGCAAGGCACGTAGAGCACTCTGACTCTGCGGCTACAGCGCTGCTGGTACTCCACTTTGGCAAGTGGCATAACGTTTGCTGCTCCACCGCTGGAGCGCCGCAGCGCCAGTGTGAACGAGGTGTTGCTTTACTGCGCTCTGATCAGCCTCCGGAAATGTCCCATAATCCCCTTAAGTCAAGTGGCCACTCTTGTCCTTGTTTTTGAAACACTGCAGGAATGCAGATATGCTCTTTGAAAGCTCTGTTTCTGACAGCCGGCTGCTTATCTTCTCCAAGAGAAAGCAAGCCATTAGTGTGTGTGTGTGTGTGTGTGTGAGAGAGAGAGAGAGGGGCGGCTGGGGGGTCTGCTGCTGTCTGAACTTACAAGACAGCATGCAGACATGCTCTCAGCCCCCCCCCAAAAACCCACTCTCCCCCCACATACACACAACACACTCCCTGTCACATTCCACCCCCCCTCCCCCACATTTGACAAGCACGTTGCAGTCACTTGCATGATGGGATAGCTGCCCATAGTGCATCGCTCCCAGTGCTGCTGCAAGTGCCACAAATGTGGCCATGCCAGTGTGCTTGAAGGTGTCGGTGTGGACAGACTGCAGCGCTTTCCCTACTGCGCTCTCCGAAGGCTGGTTTAACTCAGAGCGCTCTACATCTGCAAGTGTAGCCATGCCCTTAGATGGCTTAACTGTAGAGTCCTGTGCAGATACAAAATTTGTATCTGCATCTGACCCACAAACATGGTCCATGAATAGATATCTGCAGATTTGCAGGGCTCTACCTTAACTTCAGTTTAAGGGTGCCGGTGCTTTCAACCTCAAGGAGGATAAATCAGTTATCTGACTTAAGTTCAGTGCTGTCATCCTCTCTCATTGCTGAACAGAATGCTATCAACAGTTCCATAAACGTTCAGCTCTGTGTGTGGAGGGGGAAAAAGGCTGAAGAGACTCCACAAAACTTCTGCTGAAAAGGGCCTGCCAAAGAGTTTTTTGCGAGGGTAATTAGCATAGTGACTGTGACACGCCAGTACAAGTTTTTCTTGCTCGTTACTTTTTTTGCACAAGCAGAAAATGCCAATTTCTACCATGTAGATGCTCACTGTGTACTCAGTTTTTTGTCCTAGAGACAGCATCTGATGCTGGCACACTTTGGCATCTAAATATTTGGAAATAAATGCAATCCCATGAAGTATTTGTAAAGCTTATTTTTATTGCAGGGGGGAAAAGCTAGAAATTCCTGGTTAAGTCTCTTATCGGAAATGGTTTTCATTTTTTGGGTCAGATCCTCTTAATACTGCACCAGAGTTTACTCTTTATACAGAAGAGGTATTTATTGGGTGGGTTGAATGAGACCATTTTGAATATACTGTTCTGAAATCTAACTACTGAGAAAGTGCTGATTATCCCCATGGGAGGGCAGAGGTGAATAAAGTTTCTTTAAAAGACTAAAGATTCTCTTCTTCCTCCTCCCCTAACACCACAAAACTTGGTCAAGCATAAAACTCAAGGCTGATGTCACATGGTATCATCTGGCTATACACTGACTTCATGCTAAGTAGCATGATGAGATCAGTCAGTCTCTGCAGACTGCTTTTGAGTAACTGAGGGCAGGCCTTACCATGAGGCAAACTGAGTGCCAGACTTTGGGAGGGCGCCACTAGGACCCAGAGTGTAGAAAATTGTCTGCTGCTGGTGCATTTGTATTCTCTCTGCTCTAGATGCACAGAGATGGTGGAGTGCTGTGCTGGAGGAAGGAGGGCACAAGAGACATAACAGGCAGGCAGGAGAAAAGGAGAGAGGGAATAACAGAAAGCAGCAGGAGCTGCAGGGAGAGAGACGAGGAGGAGCCTCTTATGTACCTCTGTAGCACACCCAGGAGCTTGGACTGATTAACACCAGCTTCTCGGGGAGCTTCCTGTTTCCTGCTGCTTCCCTGATCCCACTTGAGGAGAACAGGCAGTCAACTGAAGTAGTAGGAGCCAGTTAGGCCCTTGAGACGCTGATATCTTCCCTCACTCAGGCCCTACTACCAGCCTGCTTATTTGTCCCCTTCAATTGAGTGTTGAGAGCCACTATAGCTGGCACAGAACAGCAGTCATGAGTGAAAGAAGAAAATGCCCCTCTGGGGTAGGATTCAGAAAAAGGACGCTTTTCTAACTAAGCAGGAAGGAGCTCTCCTGAGATACATAAACACAAATGTTCACGGTGAGCCTTCTGGCCCCAGTGAGGATGTGAGTGGTGAGGAGATGCCTGATCTTCCAGTTAGTCAGAGTGCAGGTGACGGGAGCTACTGCAGCATCCATCTCAAATGGATGTAACCATGCACATTCCTGAAGAAAAGTGTAGATCAGAGAAGAGTGTTGTGGAGTCACAAGAAACAGCTGCTGCTGAGTTCAGTTCCTTAACTCTAGATGATCCAGGACTGTATCATCTATCAGGACTGTATCATTGAGCAGTAGCCTGAGGGACTTCCTTGTACTGCATGAGTCACAGCAAGTGAAAAACTTCATGTTCCCCAAAGACAATGAAAATAGAAGTTTCCATCCAACACATCACTGGCATAAAATACCCAATGGTGACAAAGTGGAGAGGCCATGGCTTATGTACTCTAAAACCCAGAATGCTGCATACTGTTGTTGCAAACTCTTCCAGTCTAATGTTCCAGCCACATTGGGTTCTACAGGAACAAAGGACTGGAAAAATCTGGCTAGGAATCTGGAATGCCTTGAGAAGGCAGCAAATCACCAGAGAGCATTCCATAGGTGGAAAGAGCTTGAGATGAGACTAAGGTTAAAGGCCACCATAGATGATCAGCATCAAGAGAAGATTGCATCAGAGTCTCTTTACTGGCAAACTGTTCTGAAAAGGCTTGTTGCCATTGTGAGAATGCTTGCTACCCAAAACCTAGCACTGCATGGCACTTCAGATCATCTGTATGTGCCAAACAGTGGAAACTTCCTTAAAATTGTGGAGCTGTTGGCTGAGTTTGAAGCTGTACTCCAGCAGCATCCAAGAAGAGTCACCACCCAAAAAATGTACACACACCACTACCATGGAAAAACCATTCAAAATGAGATCATACAGTTACTGGCAACAAAAGTCAAACAGAAGATTGTGGCAGATCTGAAGTCCGCAAGATAGTACTCTGTTGTTCTGGACTGCACACCTGACATCAGCCATACGGAACAAATGGCTTTAATGGTGCATTCTGTAATAACAGAACCTAGTGAAAATGTCCCTGCAATGGTGACTGTCGGAGAACAATTTATTGACATTGATGATACTGCAGGAGCTGGTATGACAAACGTGCTTCTTAAAAAGCTGGAAGATATGGGAATTGCGATAGCTGCCATGAGAGGTCAGAGCTACAATAATGGTGCCAACGTGAGAGGAAAGAACAGAGGAGTGCAGACATGGATCCGACAGTTTAAACCCTTGAGGTGTTTTTTTGGGGGGAGGGGCTGTTTTTTTTGTTTTTTGTCCCATGAAGTTCTCCTTCATTGAACTTGGTGGTCAGTGGTGCAGCATCAGCTTCTAGTGAGGCTGCTGAATTTTTTAATGTAATGCAAAGCATCTATGTATTTTTGTCTGCATCAATTCATCGATGGCAAATTTTGAAGCAACATGTGGGAACATCCTGTCTGACACTGAAACCACTGAGTGCCACATGATGGGAAAGTCGAGTGGAGGTGATAAAGCCTATCAAACACCAAATTGGGAAGATAGATGGTGCCATAGTTGCCATTATGGAGGATAATGCTGTGACCAGAACAGTTCATGAGAGAACAGTGGCAGAGGGAAATGGAATCACCAGAAACATACATAACTTCACATTTCTGTGTGACTTAGTGTTGTGGCATGACACACTGTTCGAAATAAATGTTCGAAGCAAGAGACTCCAAGGTGTTGACCGTGATGTATCGGGAGCAATGGAACAACTGAACAAAGCAAAGACATAACTACAGTCTTAGTGGTCAGATGCGGGATTTCAAAATGCTCTGAAGAGTGCACAGAAGTTCACACTGAAGCTATTTTCCCACCCATTCAAGAATAAGTCACCGAAGAAGACGACACTTTGATTACGAGGCATGGGATAATCCCATAAGAGATCCCAAACAACAATTCAAAGTTGAATTCTTTAACCAGGTGCTAGATTGTGCAATACAGTCAGTTGAACATTTCATGCAGCTCAAGAAACACCGCAGTATATTTGGGATGGTTGTACGATATTCCAAAATGCCTCACTATACCTGAAGAAGACCTACACCAGCAATGCAGGCACTAGAGAAAGTGACACATGATGACGTGTGATATTGATGCAAGTGATTTAGTTGATGAACTGAAAGCCCTTTCAAGATACATTTCAGCAGGATCAACTCCAAAGGCTCTTCTGGAATATGTGCACAAATAAGATGCCTTCCTCTTGCCAAATGCTTTTGTTGTTCTGCGCTATTCTATTCTAACACTTCCTGTAACAGTTGCCAGTGGAGAATGCAGATTCTCAAAGCTGAAGTTAACAGATCTGTGCTCCACAATGACACAGGTTGGTCAGCCTTGCAACCATATCAGTAGAGTATGAGCTGGCCCAGAGTGGACCTTCAGGAAGCAGTTCAAATCTTTGCAACCAAGAAGGCATGGAAAGAACTACTTTGATTATTCAAACAGATAAAAATGTCAGTGTTTACTATGCAGTCAAGAAAAGTTACATTTGCTGTTCAGGCATTTGAAAGTTAAGTGTTAAGATTTTTGAACAAGGTATTTTAAGTTCTCCTTTACTGGGGTAGGTAGCAGAGGAGTAGAACAAGAAGAGGGCAAAGTGAGACCTTTCAAAGTTTTGACCCAAGCGAGGGGACATGGGGCGTCAGTTGAGCTCCCTGCCTCAGGTGCCAAAATGTTGTGGGCCAGCCCTGTCCGTGACTCCACAGATAGTTTTATTATGTTTTGAAAATCTAGAAGGCTGAGTGGTCAAGAATGACTAAGAAATAGTTATTTGCTACTAACTGTCCCTGAATGTTTCTTGTTCCTTAACTCTCTTGCAAGCAGTGGAAAGGAAATCCGCTCCTAAATACAGGTGTTCTAGTATTTTGTAGGAGTACAAGAATGGGCAAGAGTTGGTGTAGTGTAAATGGTAACACAGTATTTGCTATCTAGGTGCTGTCTTGCATTTAAACTTGCAATATGTTATGTTCCTTGTCTAATTCTCGAAAATACAACTTTGGAAAGAGTACCTTATGCAGAATAAACAGAATACTATGAAAGAATACTTCAGATTAAAATTACAACTCAAGCTGTACTTCCAGTACAGTATATTTACATATTGTAATGGAATTGCTGTCTCTTTACAAAAAGGTATAGATTTAAAGTTGTTTTTTTTTTAAAAAAAAAAAAAAACAAGCAAGATACATGATACATGATCTTGCTAGAATAAGTTGGCTTTAAATTGATAACTGCTCAAAATCAATTGCATACATTCTTTCTGCTGAAATAATTTGAATTATGCTTTCATAGTATTGGTCTCCAATGTTGTCACTGCTTTTTTGTTTAAGAATTCATTTAATCTGCTTCCATTCAGCTGCACTCTCCTGTCATGTGATCTCTGGACTGACACAGCAAGAACTCCCAGGACTTGACTATTTTGCTGTGTTGCAGTTTCGAAGGAGGGTGGAGCTCTAGTGTTAAACTTTAAAGAGGAAGTCAGTTTATCTGAACTGCTTTACCAGCTTGGCTGTATCACGCTTAAGGCTCTAGACACTGAACTACTTCTCTTTCCTCTTAGAGTTTTCAACAACTTCATTGTGATAAGAAAATGTCTGTCCTTGAAAGACTTTTTCAGCACATTGATGAACACCAGGATCTCTATGTTCAGGTAAGAATTCTTCCACACAGCTATTAAACTACTTAGTTCTACTGTAATACAGGACAAATAAATTTGTATGAAATTGAAAAGCATCTCAACAGGTGAGACTGATTAAAGGTCAGCTTGGTGATTTGTATCCTTTGGTTCTATTGGTTTCCCAGTGATTTAAGTGGCATGTAACTTATGGTTGGAGAGACTATAAACAGCATAATTTTAAATATAATTGTATACTACCCTATTATAGTAAAATGTCTAAACTTCTAGTGAACAAGTAGGAGAACTTTATACTAAAACCAATCATTTTCAAAGTGCGTCATAAATTGCAACTGAATTTCACAACAGACCTACAAGGTAAATGCTTTTACAGTGGGGAAAATGTTCAACTTGCCATGAACAAGGCCTAGAGGGAGTTGGTGTCAGAGCCAGGATTAGGATTTAGTAGTTCCTAGATTCCAGTCCTGTGCTGCTGACCGTCTTTCTCTTACTTCAGTAAATATGGAGAAACTAGAAATATTGCTGCATTACCAAACATCCCATTAGCTAATGCCTTTGACATGTGTCTGATCACTCTGGGAATATCTGGACAGTACAAAACAGGCTGCTGCATGCTAGATCTTCACATGTTACTAAATGAGGATTGTATTGCAATTCTCTTATCTAAAACTCTGGAGAGACTTAACTACAATATAGTGCTTAAATGTTGTATAGCTCTTGTGTCTATAAGAATATAGGAGTAATCAGCACAGGTGCCCAAGATTGTATTCCTGGGCCCTCTGGTGGTAAGGCGAAGGACTAATATCTTTCAGAAAACTATAGCTGGCACTAGATGTTGAAACAAAGCACCACTGGTAGAAAGACCTTGTATAGACTTGAGGTACGGCATGTTTTTGCTGTAGTGCATTTACAACCTAGTACTAAGTCAGGAAAGAGTTAACACTTTCCTCCTCTTGCTACTGTATGTGATTGGGGGGTGGGGTGTTCTTCAAAAGCCAGCTCTAAAGGAAGCTTTTCCAATTATAGCAGCCATCATATATTACTAACCCTCTTAAAACAGAGAAGGCCAGAGTCAGCAAAGGGTTAATATCAGGGTTTTGAGGGGTTTTTTTGCCCATTAAGTAATGTATTTCTAAAGTGTCTTTCATCAGCTACTCTGAACAATCTGGATTGCACACGAATGCTGTAAAACCACTCAAACCTTTTTCCCCTATAAATAGCGGCTGGCCCAATGGGTGGCAATCCAGAGTGTGTCGGCATGGCCCGAGAAGAGGGATGAAATCAAACGAATGATGGAAGTTGCTGCCAAGGACATCGAGCGGCTGGGTGGCACAACTCAACTGATGAATATTGGCACCCAAAAGGTATGAAGAGATGCTCACCTAGTTGCTACCCCATTACTAGAAAATAATTCTCAAGCAGAATTACTTGCATCCTGCATGCCAGGTAGATTCCTGACAAAGCAACTAACTATAGGCTGCAGCCTATATGTGGGTGACCAGCAGTTGCCCAAATGGAGACATATGAGCCTGCTCCCTACTCCCCAGACTGAAGCCTCTTGTTGACACTAACTTGCTCAGCTGCTGAGAACTAGTCCACTTCAGATCCCAGACCTGATCCCTGAATTAGGTATGGTGGGAATCTGTGCTACAACTTCAAATGTTCTGTGAGCTGGGATTTTCTCTGAAGCACCGTAGTAACAAGAGTCTGGGATATATTGGGAACAACTGAATGTGAAGAGTCACAGTACAAGCAATATGTTACAACATGTGTGACCACACAACTTAAATCCAGGCCAGCAGATCTTAAATGTTGGCTTTCATACATACTGCTGCTTCCATGAGTGACTAGCAGATGCTAGTCTGATAGGTTCTCTCACTAACTGGATCTTCTAGGTTTAAAATCTTGTTCCTCTTACCTCAGAACCTTTAATTTAGAATATGCTACATCTAGTCCAGGCAGGGCTGGATGCAGCTAAAGCAACACTGACCATATTTCTCATATTAAACTGGTAAACTGCGGTTACCAGGAAAACGGCACAGCCGAGTGTGTGCATATTTTCCCTTATACTTACAATGCACATGACTTCCTTGGTAAAAGTTAAAAGTACTTTGTCCTGTAACTAAATTATGCCTAGGTTTTTGGAACTGCACAGACCATTCCAACATAACTGTGGCTACTTTGGTCATGCATAGTCCCTTATAAATTGCTCTTCCTCATACATAGTCTAAAGAATGATCCTTGCCCTATTTTCTTTTTATCTAGATTAAAATCTAGTTCCTTAATCTTAAAGGGAATTTAAAGCTTGTTCCAGGTAGTGAGGTGACTAATCAAAAGTTAAATATTTGTACATGGAGGCCTTCCAAACATAAAGATCCCTGAAAGAACATGATGCTATACATTTATTTCTCTAAATAGCACCATCCCTAGCCTCATTATGCTTATTACACATAAGCAGTACCAAAAATGACTGAAGGAATAGGATTTGGCTTCAGAGGTCCCCTGTTGCTTAATTCCAGCCAAATGAAGGATATGGTGAAGCTGCACTGAAAGTGAAGCATCCGTCCTGAATTTCTTGACGTGATGCAAAGCAATTATTTTAAACTTCTGGCCCCACAAAAAACCTGCTCACCTGAGGAGTTTACTGAGTGTTAAATTGACTGTTGGAATTTCATCCAGTGAATATAAAACTTCAGGCTGCTGTATTCAGTTCTCCACTGAAGTGCATTTGAACATGTATTTTAAGACCGCCTCAAAAGTGTTGGTTTCGTATAAATATTTAATCTCCTTATTTGATGTGGTACAGTAAACACATGGCATGTTGCCTAACGCTTCAACAAATATCTTACTGTGTTTTTAGGCTCGGCCTCTACTACATGTACAGCCATGGTTTTGTAACTGGTTTGTGATGCAGTTTACCTGGCTAAACTGGTCCTATTTTGAATTGTAGCCACGTGATCGTTTTGATAGTATTAACTTCACTGTCCACTGTAGCTTAGACCACGTCAGTGTTTTGCTACTTTCACGTGGCTTGTAAAATCATTGATTCTCTCTCACCTGCACAGTGCTGGAGTGCTTAGTTTGTCAAAAACTTGCGGGGAAAGAGTCAGTCAAAACTACTCAAAGCATACGTTGTTTTTAACAAAACCGAGTGTGCATGCATTGGTATTTAATTACTCTACAGAGCCAAATTAAGGATCTAAAAACTGTGCTTCTAAGTACTTTATCCTCTCCTCTATTAAAATGCATCCTATGCTAAAATTCCTCTTATTTCTAGCTCCCTGATGGATCAGAGATCCCACTGCCTCCAATTATTCTCGGCAAACTTGGCTCAGATCCACAAAAGAAAACAGTGTGTGTTTATGGGCATCTGGATGTCCAACCTGCAGCCCTGGACGATGGCTGGGACAGTGAACCCTTCACCTTGGTAGAAAGAGATGGTAAGTGCTATAGACTTCCTGGGAAGAGTCCAGCAAGTGTTCTCTTAAAATGGGACGATCTCTCCTGTGGGGAGGAGTGGAGAATGGAAGAGCTTGCAGCACTAATTTTCAAACCTTCCTCTAAAAGTGTTAAGAACAAAATGGTAAACAAGCCCTGCCCTTGAAGTAAGGGGGAAAATGTGAACCCTCAAATGTCCACGTTCGACATGTTTTCTTCCCTCTCGGACGGTCCAAGTAGTGTTCATACCCACAGTGAAATGGCGGTGTTGAATTTGCCATCGGTTTCCATGGTAACTCACTGGTCCTAAACAGTTGTTCGCTAGGGCTGAATTCTTGTGCTGTCAAAACTAGCAGGCCAGAGCAAGGCAAGTAGCTCTGCATCACCTTTTGACCCTGGGATTCTGGGCTGCAGCAGGCACAAAAACCACTTCTGGCAGAATTTAAACAGTCCCCTATGCCATGGTTACAGCACCTTCCCTGGGCTGCCCTGTGCCTTGCAGCACAAGCCAGAATGGCCATTCTGGCATCTGCTTTGGCTTAGCTAGGTGGGGTTTGGCCACTGCACTAGGTGGCATCACAGAAGACTGCAAGCTGTCTTGCACAAAACCTGTGCCCAGGGGAATTTTTCCCCCTGGACAGACTGGCATCAAAGGGCTATAGGGATGAGGGCCACACACCTCTTTGTGAGCAGGAGTAGTTGCAAGATCTCACCCACAGCCACCAATAGTAAAGCATGCTGAAAATACTTTCTCCCTCTCTCCTGATTCTTTAACGCCCGCCCTGCTACAGTGGTCCCTCCCCATGTTTCAGCAGACCACAAGCTATTTTTATGGTCCTGAGATTCAAAGGCTGTATGACAAAATCTATTGGAAAGATAGGCTACATTAGTTTAAATTGATCTTGATGCATATGCATCAAAGCTAACAATCCGTGCCTTGCAAACAGGCTACTTAAGCCTCTTATCGCTTTTTGATAATCACTTGGTGTTAGCCAGCTTCATGTGCTGGAGTAACTTGGACTTGATCGTGTATAGTAAGTCTGTCTAAATCATTGCTGGTAGTTAGAGCAAAGGGCTGCGTGCAGTGTGTCCTTGTTTTTGGCTCCACTGTGCCACTGAAGCAGCACAAAGGGGGTAGTAAAGCGGTGCATAACAAGGGCTGATGGTTCCTCTAGTGTAATGAAACCTGAGGCTTGCTGGAATTGGTTCTGCCTTGCCTTGCCTTGCCAGTGCTGGCACGTAGGGGGCATAGCCAGAGCTCTGCTGCAATCGGGCAGTCCTCCCAGTGTAACGTGTCTAGGAGTCCTGAGACTGCTCTGTTCTGGTTCCTGAACCAGCCCAGGCTGGCCTTAGGTTTGTAAGGATGGAAGATGCATAAAGGCAGCATATAGACACCTTTACTCTTAGCTCTTCTGCTGAGCACATCTTGGTTAGACTCCAGGACTGAGCTCATAGTGCTTAAAGAGGTGCCTATTCATGTAAAACTTCTTGGCTCAAGTGAACTATATTAACAACCTTCAAGTCTTCTAAATATTTCAATGAAGCAAAAACAGTGTAAAACTTTGCCTTTTGACTATTACCTATGTTTAGAGAAAGTATGTGGTGTCTCTTCAGAAATGTGTTAAAGTATCATTTTAATAAAATAGCACAGGGGTGGGCAAACTTTTTTGGCCCAAAGGCCACATCAGGGTTGCGAAACAGTATGGAGGGCTGGGTAGGGAAGGCTGTGCTTCCCCAAACAGCCTGACTTCTTCCCCCTGGGACCCTCGACCCATTCAACCCCTCCCCGTCCCCTGACTGCCCCCCAGGACCTCCTGCCTCTTATCCAACACCTCACTCCCCACCGTCCCTTACTGTGCCGCTCAGAGCGGCAGGATAAGCTTATTAGAAAGCCTGGGAGGTGGGCGGGTGCAAGTTGTGCTGCCCGCTCGGTGGCATAGCTACAGGGGAGGTGGGACAGCGGGGGCCGGGGGCTAGCATCCCTGGCTGGGAGCTCAGGGGCCAGACAGGATGGTCCCGCAGGCCATAGTTTGCCCAACTCTGCCCAAAAGGTTCCTTTCCGTTTTTTCCCAATGCCAGTTGTCAGCCTTTCTGTTGAAAGTGCTAAATCAACAATTCTCCTCACAACCTCAGCCGAGCCTTGATGAACCCTGGACTCCGCTGAAGCCAGCAGCCTCATCCTTTACGTTCTGGTGTGGGATGGAGCATGCAACTACCCATCTGGGTACAGCAGGAGGGACAGGAGAGTGAGTGCTTCTCAAGGGCCCGTCCACAGCAACCGAACTATACTCCCCACTTACAATCTTATTAGTGGCCCAATCTTGATATAAACCAGTTGGTCTCTGTCTATTACATGAGACCAAACGCTGTTTTAGCTCCATTTCTGACCTGTGCCACAGCCCTGGCCCGTCTCCTATCACCTACATGGGCTCTAGACCCCCTTGTTCTTACACCTGCTCATGCCCAGGCTTCTGCTTGCTCCGTCTTTCAAACTGGTTCTTTCACCACACTTTCTTTGGGGGGAAGTCCGCAACCGCTGCGCTGCCGGTAAGGAATGCAGCTTTCACAGCGGCTAAGACAGGGGTGGGCAAACTTTTTGGCCCAAGGGCCACATCAGCATTGTGAAACTGTATGGAGGGCCGGGTAGGGAAGGCTGTGCCTCCCCAAAGAGCCTGACACACGCGCGCGCACACACACCCTCAGAACCCCCAACCCATCCAATGCTCCTTGTCCCCTGACTACACCGACCCCTATTCACACTCCTACCCTCAAAGAGCCGCCCCCCCCACCCAGAACTCCCACACCTATCCAAACCCCCCTGACTGCCCCTTTGCCCCATCCAACCACTCCCTGCCCCCCAGGACCCTTTGTCCCTTATCCAACCCCCCCCCTTTACCATGCTGCTCAGAGCAGCAAAGCCCTGCCGCCTGGCCAGAGCCAGCCGCACTGCCCGGCAGGAGCAGGCCAGAGTGCTGGCGTTACGTCACGTCGCGCTGAGGCTGCAGGGGAGGGGAGACAGCGGGGGAGGGTCCAGGGGGCTAGCATCCCTAGCCAGGAGCTCAGGGGCTGGGTAGGACAGTCTTGTGGGCCGCAGTTTGCCCACCTCTGAAATAGCACCAAATGCTTGATGATTAGACTTCTAAATGTACAAGGCTGAGACTTCAAATGCAGTCTAGCTGTAGTTGCTCTTGCTGTCAGTCTGTGTTCAATTTATACAATCATATCAGAGATTGGAAGTTGAACTATGTAGGAAAGCACTAATTATAAAGTATATTTCTGGACTATACCATTAAAATTTTGCTAGCAAAATAAATGTATATACCTAGTATATTCTATTCCTTGGTATGAAGGTGAACCTGGTCTACAAAATACCTCTTTAAACACTAAATGATTTTAAAAAGCAGTACCCTGCAGAATACCCATATTTCTGAATATATATGTTTGTGGGGGAGGGGAAGGAATTCTATGCGAAGTTACAGATTTTTTAAGCTCAGAAGGGATCATTAAATTCTCTATTTTGACCTCCTGTATATCGCAGGCCATTGGATTTCTCTCTGTTACTAGGCCCTGTGTTGAACTCAATAACTTGTTAGACTAAAGCATATCTTCCAGAAAGGCATCTAGTCTTGATTTAATGACTTCAAGGAGAATCCACCCCTTCTCTTGGTAGCTTGTTCCAGTTGTTAATTATTCTCACTATTTTAAAAACATGCCTTAATTCTCATTTGAATTGGTCTGGCATCAGCTTCCAGCCACCAGCTCTTATGTCTTTCTCTAGTAGATCAGAGTCCTTTAGTACCTGGGATTTAGAATACTTTCCTGGTAGTACTAGTTTCACTGTCTGACGGTCCGTACTTGGCTGTGGAGGAAATAGCAAGGACTTGGCCCTAAAGTCAATTTAGAGCTCTTGTGACTTGATCACTTAAATGTTCTCCAACTATGCTTTTTTTCTGCTGCATTTTCATGAAAATGAGTTTTCGATCTTGTAAAGATTTTTTTTTTTTCCAGTGGAAAACTTCAGTTTCTGTCAAACCTGATGCTAGGCCACAACTCTGAGCCTAAAGCGTCAAGTGACGCTGGCAGAATCTGAGGCAAAGCTGAAGACACACTAGTGCTAAGAATGTCTGATGTGAGCAGCATATTGCTAGCATATTAAGGCTTGCCTGTGTGGGTTAAAGTATATCTGGGACGAGCTGTATGCACAAGACTTCATACAGATGTTCTTCTCCCTGTATCTGGCTGCCGTAGGAAAACTGTACGGGCGAGGGTCAACAGATGACAAAGGTCCAGTGCTTGCCTGGCTGAATGCCCTAGAAGCTTATCAACAAACTAAACAGGTATTGTACCTAGAGTATATTCTGCTAAACTCAGCTTGTTAGTATAAGGCAGTTCAAAGGTTATCCTAGCCACAGATTAGTCAAAAGTCTAGTGAATGATACAGTAATTGTGTGGTATCAGTCTAAGATTAAATTAGTACTGTCATTTTGTGTAGGTGGACATTCTATTCTAATTGCTCAATTTAGCTCTAGCATAACTAGTTCATTGACAGGTCAGCTTTGTGTCTTTCTGAGCAGCAATTAGGACACTTGTTAGTCTTACTCCCTCAGTGTTTCTTATTAGCCAAACATGGAATGAGACAAATGGGGGGGAAAAAATGCTGAAACCTCTTGCAGGAGAATCAGTCAAGCCTAGCCAGGTCCACTAAGGACTTTTTGTCAAAAGCTGCTCTGCTCTGATTTTTAACAAAGTTTGACTCTGAGGAGTAAAACTGACACTGCAATTTGAGGCTGGGAGAGGCAGATGAGTTGAGATTGCCTCTGAATTTGCAACTCTGCCAAGTTTAGGAAGATCATCTAACTTGAAATAGGAATATGATCAGAAATGTAGTTCAGCTTGCCTATTGAAAATCACTCCTGAGCCTCAACAAGCTCTATATTATAGTAGCACAATAAAGCTGACACTCTGAGAAGTGACACGTCTGTTTTTTCTTTTTAGTAAAGTTCACTGCATGTTCCTTACATGCAATCATCATCATCCTTCTTTAAATAACACTTTGGTACCAGCTGCCTCTGTTTTCAAAGGAATTATGAGTAGATTGAACTGTTCTCCTCTCTGTAGTAGGCAGTCTCTATGGGCTTCTCTTATGCTAATAGCATCTGCCTAGGAGATCTGGGGTCTGATGTCTTTGGCAGACTCTATCCCTCTGCCTCCATTTCTCCACCTGTAGTAATGTGGATGACTGACTAAACTATTTATTTAAAATAGTACATACAACTAGAGGTGTGTATATATACAACTACTCTTGTTGAAAGCTAATTTAATGCCAAAATCCTCTTCCTAATTCTAACACAATGAATTACACAAAATGTAACTAAGATCATGGATGGGGAAGATCTCTGCAAGTACTGCCAAGATGGGATATGTTTCTGTGGGAAAGAATGGTAAGCATAACTGCTGAAAAAGCAACTAGCTCTTAAAACAAGCACAAAAGGGACCACAGAAGTTGCAAGGGGGACAGAGGTGCCTGAATACAACAGTTAGGCACCACTGGCATTACCAACCCCTGCTTGGTTACCTACAGAGTCAAGCAGCAGCTAAAGTCCCAAGGCACATAAGTTTCCACCAACAAATTCACGAAGGTACCTACATTTCAGCACCTGGGCTGGACCAGTGCTGCCCAAGACCTGATACTGCCCAGCAGCTCATGTGTCTGATACCCAAGCTCTGATAGGGATCACAGATTAGGCTGTCTGTCTTGCCTTTGGGACTTGATCCAGTGGGTACTCTCTGAGCACACCACAACCAGACAAAAGGAGAAGGGGGTGCCCTTATCCCTCAGGACAGGGGTAGGAGCACTTCTCTGGGCTGTGTGAGACCCAGGGCTCAGATTCCACCTGAGGTGGATCAGGGACTTGAACCTCCCACATTCCAGAAGACCTCCTATCCACTGGACTATGGGGGAATTGTGGGGTAGGCATCTCATTCTCTTCTGTTGGAACTTGTTCCACTGTAAAATAAACACAAACTGGTCCAGAGAATAAGTGACTCTGTAGTGGTCAGGACTCTTGCCTGGGAGGTGGGAGACCTGAGTTCAAATCCCTGCTCCACATCAGGCAAAGTGAGGATTCAAACCCAGATCTCCCATATCCTGGATAAATACTCAACCACTGGGGGCTGCTGGTATCCCCACCACTACCCCCTTTGAAAAAGGACTGACCTGATTTAGGCATCTCTCTCCAGGAGTGAATCCTGAGTAGAGGGAAGCACATAACTCAGACCTAGTGCCATGGGCCTAACTCCCTTTGAGGAGCAGGGCTTTGGCCACACCTCTCTACTCAGCAGTTCCTACTGGCTAGCTTATTTGGATTTCTGCGCAGCATTCATGAATCCCCTTTGGCACATACCTCTCCCTATGCATCCTGTGGGCAGCCTGGATTTCTCTTTCAGGGTTGTGAATTCCACTAAGCAGGAGGGAGCTGCAATGCTCAAGTCCCCCTTGTGAATCCCACCCTAACAGTGAAAATATTCTTCAAATAGAACATAGCAAGTCTGGCCTGTCGTCTTGGGAACTGTGTACTCTGAGCTTTTGCTGATAATAAGGACTTTGCATCAGTAGAACTGCAAGCACTCCCTAAAGTTACACTAGTGTTTGTGTCATGGAACTAGAATGCCTGTATTCTATACTTTAATCGCAAGCACACCTAACAAATATGCATGAACTGGTATCTGAGCAATGTTGAATGTCTCCATGCTTGTTTCACTCCAAAGGAAATCCCAGTGAACATCAAGTTCTGTCTGGAAGGCATGGAGGAGTCTGGCTCTGAAGGCCTAGATGAACTGATTTTTGCTCAAAAAGACACTTTCTTCAAAGATGTGGACTATGTTTGCATCTCTGACAACTACTGGCTAGGCAAGAAGAAGCCCTGTATTACATATGGCCTCAGGGGAATCTGCTACTTTTTCATAGAGGTAAAGTCCTGAAGAGTAAACCCTTCATTTCTGTATTTTAAACTCCTGTTGCTTACAAACTGAATCTCATCTCCTTTTTTTGTTTTAAAGAGCTGTTATTTTTAATTCTTGGCATTAATATCCATTGCTGATCTACACTTTTATTTTTAAGATGAGCACTTATGTCTTCCAGTATGATAGAACTAGCTCTATTCCTGTATGCCCCAAGCATAGCACCCTCACCCCCGCCCCCAACTCCCCATGAACAACTGTCATACTTTGGGAGGAGGGTGTACCTCTAAAACTGTTGTACAGGATATTTTGTTGACATTAGCAATGATTCAAACATCTCTAGTGCCAAGTTGTAGCATGGATCTTTTAATCTAGGCAACTGACGTCCTGTAAGTGAGCTAAGATATATAGGTTGAACAACATGGCAGATGTTTTTATAAGTACTGTAGACTTATGCCATTGAATCAGATTGTAAGGCCTTTGGAGTAGGAAATGTCCTATGCTACACTTGTACAATTTCTGGCACAATATGGCCCCAGTCCTGATGGAGGCCTCTTGTTGCTATCACACTCAAATAATAAACTGTCTCTCTGCTCCAGATGCTTGCAGTATAGCACTGTTACCTCTCTGTTTGCTGACCTTTACTTGGGGTATAGGCCATTGAGGGGCTATTAAAAAAACTGACGAAACTAATGTCTGATTACAAGCTTGTTTGCGTCTAACCAGGTGGAATGCAGTGACAAAGACCTTCACTCTGGAGTTTATGGCGGCTCAGTACATGAGGCCATGACCGATCTCATTGCTCTGATGGGTAAGAGAAACATATTTGCCTTTTATGCTACAGCATCAATGTTGCCCAGTCCATGCTTGAGTAACTGTCCTACATATAATGCATAGTAAAGAAGCTCTTCCGTTAAAGTTAAAACTATTAATTTACACTGTAAAAGGCTCCAATATAAAATTTACTAGGCACTATTTGACTGACTTTAAAATTAGCCAACCCCACTGAAATGGTGGCTTTCCAGGAGAGACAGGCAGGAGAAACTGCAAGCAAAATGCCCTGGTCGCTGAAATACCCATCTGAGGAAGGAGGAGTTGTGTTGATGTTTTTTCATCAAGGGTTTTTAGGGAAAGCTGAGGAAGATGTTGACTTATGGTCCTGGAGCTCACACTTGTCCATAAATGGCTGCTTCCCTGCCAGCCATCTTATTAAAATGTAATATACAACTCTGTGTTTGAAATCAGGTTCTTCCATGGAGTCTGACAAAGAGGTTTATAATTCAAGGAAATGCAGGTCTTGAATATACCTATTGAATGAGTCACTTCACAACTAGAGCTGACCTGAATTGACAAGTATCCCTTAATTGGGTTGTACGCCAGTTGTAGCTACCCTATTTATGGTATATAGAGAAGGCTTTCAGTGGGTTAACTAGTCCTCAGGAGTAGCCTCTAACCTGTGTCTCTAGAACTGCATTTCTTCCTTTCTGTCTCCTGACAAAGGAAGCCTTTAAAGAAAGCAAGATTTCAAATGACATGGGTTGCAATTTTTAACAGTAACATGGAAGCAACACTCTCTGAAGAGTGGTACTTAAGTCTGGTTTCAGACACTGATCTTACAGGATTTTCTTTTGCAGGCTCTCTGCTGGATAAGAGGGGGGAAATCCTCATTCCTGGCATTAATGAAGCAGTGGTGCCAGTCACTGATGAGGAGCTGGAGTTGTATCAGAAGATTGACTTTGACCTGAAGGAATATGCAAAAGATGTGGGAGCAACGAAACTACTGCATGACACAAAGGTACAGTGCCTTTCCTTCTTTTTTCTGTTCCCACCTCAAATTCCTCTTTCTGCTGTACAAATTCAAGGTATTCTAGACTGAAACATTCACTGCATCTGTGAGGGACACTTACAGCTGCCTCAATAGATGAATTTGGCACTGAATTAGTTTTTTTTTCCATAGGCAGAATATCTTGACTTCAGCACAAAGCTCCTGCTGCTACATAGATTCATAGATATTTAGGCCAGAAGGGACCATTATGATCATCTAGTCTGACCTCCTGCACAATGCAGGCCACAGAATTTCACCCACCACTCCTAAAAAAGACCTCACACCTATATCTGTGCTATTGAAGTCCTCAAATTGTAGTTTGAAGACCTCAAGGAGCAGAGAATCCTCCAGCAAGTGACCCGTGCCCCATGCTACAGAGGAAGGCGAAAAACCTCCAGGGCCTTCCAATCTGCCCTGGAGGAAAATTCCTTCCCGACCCCAAATATGGCGATCAGCTAAACCCTGAGCATATGGGCAAGATTCATCAGCCAGATACTACAGAAAATTCTTTCCCGGGTAACTTGGATCTTACCCCATCTAAAAACCCATCACAGGCCATTGGGCCTATTTACCATGAATATTTAATTACCAAAACCATGTTATCCCATCATACCATCTCCTCCATAAACTTATCGAGTTTAATCTTAAAGCAAGATAGATCTTTTGCCCCCACTACTTCCCTCGGAAGGCTATTCCAAAACTTCACTCCTCTGATGGTTAGAAACCTTCGTCTAATTTCTAATCTAAATTTCCTAGTGGCCAGTTTATATCCATTTGTTCTTGTGTCCACATTGGTACTGAGTTTAAATAATTCCTCTCCCTCTCTGGTATTTATCCCTCTGATATATTTATAGAGAGCAATCATATCTCCCCTCAACCTTCTTTTAGTTAGGCTAAACAAGCCAAGCTCCCTGAGTCTCCTTTCATAAGGCAAGTTTTCCATTCCTCGGATCATCACACTACATGCTAGTGTGCACTGCATTTGTAGTGAACTAGGAAAAACTGGCTTCTGGTTTTGCTATAAAACCTATCCCAAAGGGTAGATGGCATGTATCTCCCATGGAAGTCTCTTCCTGTTGTATAAAATTGTTACCTACAGTAATGTACTATCATCATAGTACAAACACATATCAGACTTTTCTAGTGTATGGCTTACACTAGTTTTCAAGATGACCTGAAACACCTCGGTCTTGATGTACCTTATGTTAAGGTAATATTCAGAGTCTCCCTAAGAAGAGCACTGATCTTGGCTAACTAGGTTAGTCTAGGTTCCTAAGTGTCATTCCTTTACACATTCTTAGATCTAATGTCTCCTAGCAGCAGTTTCACTTCCCCAAATCTCCTGTGTGAGAGAGCCAATGAGAAGGCAATCTGCATCCTTACTCCATTGAGCCTGGATAGAGGTGGAAGGGTGTTGTAGATAAAATAATCACTCTTAAAAGGTGAATAAATATCCTATTTCTCTACCTATTAAATGTAGAGGAAACACTACTATCTCAGATGCAACTAATAAATGTTGGTGCTCTTCTAGTGCTGATTACTGTTGGCATGACTGCATAATCTGACAAAGTCCCATAGCTAGTTCTTAGCAAGCTTGTTTCTAAAGTTTGAGAGTCTGGTGACATGTTAAGTCTGAACTTCCCATGCATAACATCTCCACAGGAATTGTGGGACCACTCCAAAACAACACAGAATTCCTCTGCATGCTGTTCACATGTCGTAAGGTACAAGCGTATTACAGGTCTGCAAGCTGAACGTACACAAAGTTTCCTATGCCTATTCATCTCTGATCCTAAAAGGCAGAACATTGCTTTCTCAGCCTTGTATAATCCTTTTCCACAAATTTTGCACTCTGCACCCCTTCCCCCACCTCCCCAAAAAAATACTGGTCTGTCAAATACTGACGACAAAACTGACTTCCCAGGCTGACCCTATGCTTCACTGGCCGTTCTACACATCACCAACTGTTTCCAGATTAGATATGAAGGAAGAATCAAATCGGTTGGCAAAGCTTTTCCTACTATCTGAGCACCTTAGCCAGTCAGAAATCCTAGGTAAATGCAATTTCAAGATGAATTTTTGATTAAGTGGCAGTCCACTTAATGTTGCGCATCGTATGGAACTTATTGAGAAGAGCTGTTGCCCCACCACTGGGCAAACGTCTCCTTTCAAGACTGCTTTTATCAGGCCTAAACTGAATTTTCAGGGTAGGAATTAACTGACGATCTCTTTCAGAGAGGACTAATTCAGATACTGTATACGGACATCTTGTGCAAATTGCTGCTTCAGTTGCTATCTATGCTTGAACCAGACCGACATGGTTTAATGCAGGTTGTCTTGCCCACCTTGGGTAACTACTTTTGGTCTTGAAATTATGGCTATAAGTAACTTTAATAATTTTTCCATTCTTCTGCAGAAAGATATCCTAATGCACAGGTGGAGATACCCATCCTTATCTCTCCACGGAATTGAAGGAGCCTTCTCTGCATCAGGAGCCAAGACTGTGATTCCAAGGAAAGTAACTGGCAAATTCTCAATCAGGCTAGTGCCAGACATGACTCCAGCAGATGTTGCCAACCAGGTAGGTATAAGTTGGGAATGGCTGAATCTTTGCTTTCTTAAAAAAATTCCCACTTCCACCCTTGTACACGGGTGGAACCATGTTAAAACCCTGCAACCACAGCAGCAGTTCTGTCTTCTCTGCTGTCCTTTACCTCCAAGACCTTTATTTGGATCCAGCAGATGTAGGATGCATCTTAGCTCTGACCTGACCATAAACTGAAGTTTTTGATATGGTGTTGGTGTCTTAGTCCAGCTGTGATAAATAGTTCATAAATACCTAACTCCAGCGTGCATTATGCACTACTTGAAAGCATCACTTGCATAAATCTGATACCTAGTGGGTTGACATCCGCTGAAGGTGAATAACTTCTGGAGTTGGCTTAGTGAGCTTTCACTTTAAGGTTGGATCTTACAGGGGGTGGCAACTTTCAGGGTCAGACTTTCAATAGCTCAGCATCCAGAAACCCCCACGGAGAACCACCAAGGAGGTGGGGCTTTTCTGAAGATCTGGCCATCATATGGAGAAGCTCCTTGAGGTAGGGGTTGTCTCTGTGCAGTACCTAGCCCTGTGTAGGGTTCCAAGCTGATTTGGGGCTTCTGCGTGTTACTATAATTCTAACGGCAATCTAGCCGACTCTTAAACTAGCTAATACTTTTTGTTCTGGAAGTTGGCCTCTTGCTAGTCTAGATTTGTGACCTTTTATAATTCTAGCACTGCTCGCAAGGTGCTTCCAATATCCAGGAAGACACTGTCCCTGCTCGGCGTTTGTGTTACAATAACAGCCTCCAGGCAGACCTTTCCTGCTACATTAGCTTTACTTACAACCTGTCTAGTAAGACAACCCAACAGGAACTTTGTATGACACTTCTGAATGTGTTAATCCTAGACTTCTAATTGCTCAATCCTTTGGTACCAAAGGTTCAGGATTACCTCACCAAGAAATTTGCTGAGCTGCAAAGTCCCAATAAGTTCAAAGTATACATGGGCCATGGTGGAAAACCTTGGGTGTCAGACTTCAATCATCCCCACTATATGGCTGGCAGAAGAGCAATGAGGACAGGTCAGTAGAATTAAAACTTGGGAATTTAAGTCTAGCCCGTTCTGACACATCAAATGTTGATCTCGCTAGTACCAGCACTAAATGGTGATATCAATGTAGCAGCAAGATGTCAGGATTGTACACACAGTATGGCTGGTTAACATGGAGCTATGCAGGTGTAATAACAAGATGTGCATGGTCATATTTGGTCAATACTAGGATGAAAAGCCAAGGGGCTGCAGCAAGTAGTGGTTCAATAGGAAGTGTTTTCCCTTAGCATCATACTAAAACCAGTCCATTACTCTGGCTTAATGTTTTTGTGCATTAAGCTTTAGAAGTTGGAATCAGGAAGCCAGTTCTACCTTTGGTTGCACCCATATAGGTCCTCCTGATAGCAGCAAAACATTTGCCACCAGTGGGTCAAATCTGCCCTTCCGAGTTCTTTGGGATCCCTAAAGATGGCAGGTGATCTAGTAAGGAAGCATGCTGGGGAAGATGCACTAACTCAGGAAAACTGACACAAACTATTTTTTAGTTTTTGGAGTTGAGCCAGACTTGACGAGAGAGGGAGGAAGCATTCCTGTCACTCTCACCTTCCAAGAGGCAACAGGCAAAAACGTAATGCTGCTTCCTGTTGGAGCTGCAGATGATGGTGCCCATTCTCAAAATGAGAAACTGAACAGGTAAGGGACACTGTGGTGTCTGGACAAACTGGGTGAAATTTTTTGACCAAAAAGGCAAATTTAGCAACAGCCAAAGCACTTCAATTTTTCACTTTGTTTTCCTTCAATTTTATTTTAAAACAAATATTAAATGCCCCCAAATCAAAATGGTTTCGGGTTGAACAAAACATTTCATTGGTTTGGTCAAGTGTAGTTTTGGAATTGCAACCATACCAAAAAAAGCAGCTATCTGCACAGCTCTGCTTGTTACTGTACAAGTCTTGAAATGCACCAGTACCTACCTGTGGCGCTGGTTGCAATCTCTTTTCTCTCAAAGATTTTTTTGTTCCTTCTGTAGAGGAGCTGTGGCTGGCTATGTACCTCTGTATACTAAATGCTCACTGCATACAGTCACTTGCAATTCTACAGTCTTGCTAGCTTCCTCTTCACATAACTTCTCTCACACTGTTGATCTGGCAGCTCTTGATGCAGGCAGAATGATGTCCGTGGGCACTCACAAGAGACCAGATCATACTAATGCACAGAACTCTTCTCCCCAGGTATAACTACATCCAGGGAGTGAAGCTGCTTGGCGCATACCTATATGAGGTATCACAACTAAGGGACTGAGCTAAGGAGGTGAAAATCCCAAACATGAAATCATTTTGTGGTTCAGAGTTCTGGAAATCCTGCTGACGAGCGAGCTTAGACTACCGAATACCTACAGCTTTACTTCTCTCTCCCCCCGCCCCCCCTCCATTTTTCACCCACCAACACTCAAACTCCTGCAGCGGAAAAGCATCAGGCCCCCACTCTAGAAATCTTGGAACACCCAGTAGCAAAATACTCTTCCAGTGCACACTCCACATCTTCTGTAGCTGAAGAAATGGAATGAAGAGACCCTTTCTAAGGACTGTCTCCAAAATCTGACAAGTGGTTCTGAATCACTTCACACCTGCCCTTTCTGCTTCTTTGAATCAAGCCTATAGCTTGTCATAGGCATTCTTTCTCCTGGCTTGTTTAAAACTGAAGTGAGAACTAACAACTCTCCTCCAACTTAATTAAACTAGCTAATCCACTAAAGAACTCAACATCTTGACCATCAGCAGTTACTGAAGGAGGTTAATCTAGACTCCATGGTAAGTCCTGGAAGCACTCCATGACAGACTACAAAGGGTATACTGGAATTCCTGCAAGCTGTAATGGGGCCATCTCTGCTGCCACGCTGACGAGGAGAGGGGTGGGATTGCTAATTTGTTGTATGTAGCTCTTGCTGCTCATGCTTGTTGCATCAAGGTCTGCAGACAAATCTGGATATAAAGCATGCAATGAAACTGGCATTTTTCTAAAGCTGGCTTTGTTCTTATGTAAATTCTGCTAAATTAAAAAAAAAAAAGATGGCTCTATCACTTGGCTGTTGGGTTTCTTTCAAATACTTTATCTGAGACTGTAAAGGTCTATTCTGGCCCATGAACACCAGCCCACCCCCATAAAGGCCATGAAAGAACTAAGTGGCTTTTTTGGTGCGAGAATATCCTGCTTAGAAGGAAAAGCAGGGAGGAGGGAGGGCAGCACTGAGTGCTATGGGCAATCATATCTGTTGCACGACGCCTTGGCAGCCCTGGGGAAGCTACTGTAGATGTGAGCATGATTATAAACCATCTAAGAGTGAAATGAAGTATTAAATCTTATCTGCTTGCTGTGGAAATGCTCATAATGAACTTCTGGTTGACCATATAGGATTCATTAATAGGTGGAAGGCTTTCCTTTATAGCCTACCTCTAGTTCTGGAAGTGTGTGTGTCTTTTTTTTAAATACTGACTTTGCATGCAATGGTTCAATTTCTAGGTGTGCTTATTCCTGAACCATGCAAAAACATTCCAGATAAAATGCAGTTCCATCTCTCAACGCTCCACTCCCCTTGCCTTGACACTTCTTAATCTTCTGGACGATGGACAGAGTTAACTACCTCTGTAATACAATCAAAATATGACTAAACCCCTCTGGGGCAGGGAGAAAATACCAGCCATGATGTAAGGCATAGGACAACATCCCTGACTGTGGTAAGGAGTAGTGCATGACCTGCTAAAGAAGGTGAATGTGGGGTGGGAGACTAAATGTCCTGTTCAGCTAAATACATGTACCTCTCAATGAGGGATATTGAGGAGAGGGTTGTGACATGTACAGTTGTATACATGTCCATGCTCAGGAAGGGTGTCTTGCAGTCTTCTACAGTACCCCAGGCATGAGACCACAGCAGGAGAAGCAGAGAAATGGTGGGTCACTACTGGCCTCGGCGGGGTGAGGACAAACTATTAGGGCTAGAATTTTATATTTGGTGTGTGTGTGTTTGTAGTGGATTTTGTTTTTCTTTTAGTTTTTTAAATAAAAAGAGGTAAGGGCAGTGCAGGGACTTGAAGAGGGGGACTGATCTGGCCAGGTGGCCTGGCAATGTGTGATCCTGTACATGAGTGGGTGTCAGATGAACATACAAAACTGGGTATGGATGAAGTTTTTGCTGTTCAAAGAAAATGAAAGAGGCCTACTCTGAAATGCTGAGGGAGGAGGAAGAAGCAGCAGCAGGCTTTGGCTTGCCTACAAGGAACACCAGACAAGATTGACCTAAAATTAAACCTAATTCTCCCCCACTAAAAACATTGCTTTCTTAGGATGGTATTTGGTTGCTGACAGATGGCTACTGTTATCCACACAGACAGCCATGGTTTGAATAAAGTTTTTTGGACATTGAAGCCTATGCCGTAGTGTAGTTGAGAGTAAACTGGATTTACTTGCTTTTTACTTGGCAATTTGGAGTTAGATTAGATTTCCCATTACACTGCTGAGGGCATGCACTAAATAATCTTGTAATCATTGCTTGTTGATACAAACATCTTCCTTTTTGTCTGAATTGTAGCAATCTTCTAGATCCTAGTAGTGGCTTGTATACATGAAATGAGAATTCTTTTAATGGCAGAAACCCCAAGTACATTTAGTGAAATGTAGAATGTCCTAGCACCATCTGCTGGGTGAACAGACTGTAAGTAAAAAGAAAAAGGAGTACTTGTGGCACCTTAGAGACTAACCAATTTATTTGAGCATAAGCTTTCGTGAGCTACAGCTCACTTCATCCAGTGAAGTGAGCTCTAGCTCACGAAAGCTTATGCTCAAATAAATTGGTTAGTCTCTAAGGTGCCACAAGCCCTCCTTTTCTTTTTGCAAATACAGACTAACACAGCTGTTCCTCTGAAGACTGTAAGTAATCATCCATATACATTATGCACAGCAATGAACAGGCTATCTTTACTGCTTGCCAGTGTAAGAGCGGGTATAGAACAAACCTTTGCTGAGCAACTCCTCAACTAAATATGCATTCCATCTTCGGGCTCTGATTTGAGTGCTCAACTAAACATAAGGCCTTGAGAGTTGAATTTAGTTTTATTAACTTGCCTTAACAGCAACTAATAGTATTGTACTATTTGTGTCTTATATCCTATACTAACAAACTAGAAAATTGGTCAGGATAACTATTCAGGTTTTTGCAATCAAATCACACAACCAGAACAGAAAATAACTTGGTCAACTGCTGTCTTGAAGATGATTTTGTTTACATTTGATGCCTCAGAATAAGGCCTCTCTTGTGCCAATTGGCTCAACTCCAGTATTAACCCTCTACCTACAAGGTGATTTCTAGTAAATACTAGAGAAAATAGTTATTGATCAGATCACTTTTCTCCCTACACTTAATAGTTAGTTCTGGTTGGTTTAGTGTGTGCAGATTCTCTTCCATGTACATGGATCATACAGTTGTTTCCAGCTTCTGCTCTGGTTGGAGGCTCAATTCACGTGTGTGTGTGTGTGTGTGTGGAGGGAAGGAGAGGTTTAAAAAAAATCTGAAGCTTCCTGTAGCACATGGAACAATATATCCAATTGCAGTCTTTTTAATTCTTATTAAAACAGCTATGCAAACCAAATGGGATGTCCATTTGTCACCCTCGTATAACACAGGGCAGCTCTGCACTACATCGCTTAAATCAATGTAACTTGCATCACTCGGGTGTGAAAGACACCTTCCCTGCCCCTTAAGTGACACAAGTTACAGTGACCCAAGTGCGCTCTCCCACCGACATAGCTTCCGCCTCTGAGGTGGAGTAAACTATGCTTACAGGTGAGCGCTCACCTGTCAGCATAGAGCATCTTTATTGGATGTGCTACAGCGTCGCAGCTGCATTGGTGCAGTTGCGCTGCTTATCGCTTCCCTCAGATGATCTCTGGTTTTACTCTGATTTGAAATGTGGAGTAGTGGGCTGAGTACTGACTGACCACCAGGAAACCCTGAATGTCATCTGCTTGTTGTGTAGACTTGGGCAAGTCAACTTGTGTGTCTGAGTTCACTCCCCCTGGAAAAAGAAGGAGGGATCATAATGCATGACTCTTTCCTACCCAACTGTGGCATCTTGAGGACTAATTAGCTGACATTCTGAAAAGCTGCATAGTGTTAATCATCCATTTCCGTTTGTACAATAACAAACGCTGGTTTTGAGGGCAGAAAATACAATGATGAACTTCTCCCAAAGGTTCAGTACAGCCTTCTAGATAGATCGCACCACTGCCAAAGTCAGTCTTGTTAGGCCAAAATTAACTGTGCCTCTTTTTAAAGTGCAGATGTATTTAATTGGTAAAAAAATAGATCAGCCTTCTTTAGAAGTCTTTGCTTTAGTATAATGAATTTGATAATGCTAAATCTATTTATTGGTAGCTTTTCCTAAAGAACTCCTGCTGTATCATCCTAACTTAATGTCAGCTTTGTGATCCCTTTGTGGGAAAGGAAAACATTTTGTTTATCTAGAACATTAGTTTGAGTTTGCCCACATCTTAAATATTAGCTTTCAAAAAAAACCTTAATTTTTCCCCTGTCAGCTGAACACATTAAATTAAAATGTGCTAAATATACTTTTGCATTGAGTCACTCTTTAACCTGAATAAATCATCTTCCTGATCACGAATACAATTATGCAGAGGTTTTTAATCACTCTTAGTAGAAATGCTTAGGCCATATAGGAGAGCTTAGTAGTAGATAATTTTGATTACAATCCCTTCCTAAAAGAAAAGGAGTACTTGTGGCACCTTAGAGACTAACAAATTTATTTGAGCATAAGCGTTTGTGAGCTACAGATCACTTCATCGGATGCATAAAATGGAAAGTACAGGGAGGAGACTTTATATATACATACAGACCATGAAAAAAATATACTTTGTAAGGAGAGTGATCACTTAAGATGAGCTATTACCAGCAGGAGAGTGGGGTTGGGGGAGAGAGAACCTTTTAAAGTGATAATCAAGGTGGGCCATTTCCAGGAGTTAACAAGAATGTCTGAGGAACAGTGGTGGGGGGGGGGGGGAGAAAAAACAAGGGGAAATAGTTTCACTTAGTATAATGACTCAACCACTCCCAATCTCTATTCAAGCCTAAGTTAATTGTATCCAATTTGCAAATGAATTCCAATTCAGCAGTCTCTCGTTGGAGTCTGTTTTCGAAGTTTTTTTTGTTGAAGGATACTCACTTTGAGATCAGAAATCGAGTGACCAGAGAGATTGAAGTGTTCTCCGACTGGTTTATGAATGTTATAATTCTTGACATCTGATTTGTGTCCATTTATTCTTTTACGTAGAGACTGTCCAGTTTGACCAATGTACATGGCAGAGGGGCATTGCTGGCACATGATGGCATATATCACATTGGTGGATGTGCAGGTGAACGAGCCTCTGATCGTGTGGCTGATGTGATTAGGCCGTATGTTGGTGTCCCCTGAATAGATATGTGGACACAGTTGGCAACGGGCTTTGTTGCAAGGATAGGTTCCTGGGTTAGTGTTTTTGTAGTGTGGTGTGTGGTTGCTGGTGAGTATTTGCTTCAGGTTGGGGGACTGTCTGTAGGCAAGGACTGGCCTGTCTCCCAAGATCTGTGAGAGTGATGGGTCATCCTTCAGGATAGGTTGTAGATGCTTGATAATGCATTGGAGAGGTTTTAGTTGGGGGCTGAAGGTGACGGTGAGTGGCGTTCTGTTATTTTCTTTGTTGGGCCTGTCTTGTAGTAGGTGACTTCTGGGTACTCTTCTGGTTCTGTCAATCTGTTTCTTCACTTCAGCAGGTGGGTATTGTAGTTGTAAGAATGCTTGATAGCGATCTTGTAGATGTTTGTCTCTGTCTGAGGGGTTGGAGCAAATGCGGTTGTATTGTAGAGCTTGGCTGTAGACAATGGATCGTGTGGTGTGGTCTGGGTGAAAGCTGGAGGCATGTCGATAGGAATAGCGGTCAGTAGGTTTCCAGTGTAGGGTGGTGTTTATGTGATCATCGCTTATTAGCACTGTAGTGTCCAGGAAGTTGATCTCTTGTGTGGACTGGTCCAGGCTGAGGTTGACGGTGGGATGGAAATCGTTGAAATCATGGTGGAATTCCTCAAGGGCTTCTTTTCCATGGGTCCAGATGATGAATATGTCATCAATATAGCGCAAGTAGAATAGGGGCATTAGGGGACGAGAGCTGAGGAAGGGTTGTTCTAAGTCAGCCATAAAAATGTTGGCATACTGTGGGGCCATGCGGGTACCCATAGCAGTGCTGCTGATTTGAAGGTATACATTGTCCCCAAATGTAAAATAGTTATGGGTGAGGACAAAGTCACAAAGTTCAGCCACCAGGTTTGCCGTGACCTTATCGGGGATACTCTTCCTGATGGCTTGTAGTCCATCTTTGTGTGGAATGTTGGTGTAGACGGCTTCTACATCCATAGTGGCCAGGATGGTGTTTTCAGGAAGATCACCGATGGATTGTAGTTTCCTCAGGAAGTCAGTGGTGTCTCGAAGATAGCTGGGAGTGCTGGTAGCATAGGGCCTGAGGAGGGATCTACATAGCCAGACAATCCTGCTGTCAGGGTGCCAATGCCTGAGATGATGGGGTGCCCAGGATTTCCAGATAGAATACCCCAGGTTGGGGTTCCAGGGGTGTGTCTGTGCGGATTTGTTCTTGTGCTTTTTCAGGGAGTTTCTTGAGCAAATGCTGTAGTTTC